GTGACACAGGCTTAACTGATTTCAGTAACTTATAATCACCATATCTCATTTAAATCGTATTCTGCCCGCATACGTGCAACTAACTTGTATGCCCATCAGCCGGCAAGTATAAATATAAATAAATAGTCTATCGCAGATCAGAACATTGAGTCTAGAGCATGTCTCTTACGAACACACTCATGTTTAACGATTTTTCTTAGCTATCTGTCCAAAATCCATATAATCATCACTCATGTATTTAAATTTTATTTTGATAACCATTCATGTGTATTAGTAGTATTACTAAATTCTATCACGGTCAAGTAAAAATGAGGTTGAGAAAATCTCCCCGTAACTAAATAAACCGTGTCAAACTAACTGGAACACTAGTTGGAATTCTTCTCCACGGTATACTTTTGTTCCTTCAGTTAGCCTACTAATACAGATGCAATTGGAATTCAACTCTTATGGACAACTTACCGGCATAATCGTTATCTGATTTCATAATTTAAACCAAAACTAATACCAATATTAACATTTCTACAATATTCATTATTTTAATATTTCTAAACACAAAATAATCACTGCCTATAAGTTAAGTTATTAGCACGCATCGTTTTATTATTATTATTGTAATCCCATTTTTTATAGTTCAAATAATCTTCAACCAAATTTTCATTTTAAGCGTATTAATCATGAAAGTAGATATTTTAAGATTATTACATGTATTTCCCGACCAGATGCTGCCGTCCTTTTGATTTATCTTTCAGCTTATCAATACCCGGAGGATCCTTATTATCCTTGGTAACCTCCGGCGCGTGACGATCCCATCCAATTTGGTATTGAACCAACATCACGTTGATTCTGGTGGGAGAGTAGTGTAGTGGCATTGGACAATAGCCACACAATCCACAAAGCTGTGAACACGAGACTACTCAGAAAATAGATATTCAATATTTAACTCGGGGAAATACCTAACGATGGAGAAGGCGCGAATAAAGAATTGAATGGTCTGGAGTTGATCGAGTGGCATGGCTCGGCAATGCAGGCATGGTCTCTGCCGAATGTTACCTTATATCTTCTATTCATATTAAATATATTGTTCTTTCTTCAGCCTAACCTTGTTCTACATCATTTATTGGTAATTGATACAACACAGTGAGTTGGTGTAGTCGATGGTGTGACTTCCACGTAAGATCTTATAGATTAGACAGTTATATCATGACGAATCTACAAATTTAGGATTAGGTCTATTATTAGATCAGTACTAATATCATAGTAGACCATAGTTCTACACATCTTCAATCGATCCGGGATCATGCGCAACACTTTATTCATTGTCTAAAGTGGATAACGTCTTGTACCCAATACGGATTTGACTCCAATGGTCACCAATTCTCATTAGAACTCCGTGAAATCAATAGTGAAGCTTGTTGTTAGGCTAGTTTATAAGATTACTGCAATCTCCACAAACCGCAATTTTCATAAAAATTCCATTCACCCATCCGAGCCCATCACAACGATTTTAGATGTGATAACATCACTTATATTCAGTAACTCCCCCCACCAGTGAACATGGGACACGTGATACTGAACTTTGGATTTCGGTTAATACAGTATGCATATGCTCCACCCGGTCACGATACATGTCGGGCTAACATCACGGCAATCAGAGGCCACGTTCTCTCAAAAGATTAGTTGGTCGATGCAGATGAGACAGCTGAAGACGGATGGAATAAGTTTAAAGTCACGTGCGAACCAACAACAATAATATTCATTCCATGATCAATACGTAAGCATCACACTGCCATCCACAGATCGGTATGGGTTTGGTGCGTGCTACTTATATTTACATAAGTAGTATGTAACGCGAGTCAGGAACGTAATGTCTGGCAGAAGAAGATTGGGATTATCAAGAACGTAAGAACGGGAATAGAAAACAATTAGTATGTAAACGCAAGAAAATGAAGTCCGAGACAACTATTGAACATTTTGCAAACTAGGTAGTATAGTGTGGTTTTTCTATTTTACCAATTGACTCTGTAATATTTTGTTGAATATAATTCGGTTAAACTCACCAGTGTTCGCCTTCAGTACAAGGCAGCCTGAAAGCCGTTGAGTGCGCGAAACGCTTATGGGACTTGTTCTCGTCAACAGATCACACACCATTTAAGTGCGAGTACCAAAAACCTGGAATATATGTTAAAGGACCAAAGCTAGATGTTGCACCACTTAAGAAATAAGACTGGCATAAGATAGCTGTGTTTCCCAAACACGGCTGTTTTCGTATACTAAACGAAGAACAAAACGTGATGATAGGATTTCTCTGTTGTTGTTGCACGGAAATTCGAATATACTAGCCGAATCAGATTTTGTCAAAACTGAGACTTTATGAAATTTTTCAATGAAGTCTACCCTACTGTTATTTTTAACAATACTTGTAATAACCACACCAACTGGATACCAACTATAGGACTTGTACATGTAACTGAGGGAGCTGTTATGCGATCGATTATTAACCTCAAACCTAGTAGGACACCGGGTTCTGGTCGTTTGCATGCACGACTGTTGCCGTCCTTCGTGGAAAATATTTCATGAACACTCGTGCTATTTTTCAGCTTTGATCGTTCTCAAACCTAGCTCCACAGGATTTGTGGGGTTCGGTAACTAACCCAACACTAGAAATCGGGACAAGATGGTCGCTTACTAACTACAAGCACACCATTTTAACCAGCATATTAGATCAGTTCTTTGAAAAAACAATCCGGACTAATTTACAAAGCATCATGGAATCATAAATTCTGGCAACCCCTGAGCAACACGAGATTCGGAATATTTAGTCATGCCTAACCAACTTGCTATTCGCGGGAACGGACTGACGGGAATCTCAATACACTGGTTTGTCTTTTGATGCCATATTCACAACTTCTAGAAAGGGATCTAGTAAGGCTTCTCACTACAATCTTATTCAGACTCTATGGAGCTTCCGAATCATAGGCGCCGTACGAGAACAGATAAAAAATTTCTTCTGTGGCTAAAGTCAGAGGGTTAGTGTAAATGAAACTTATCTGAATGAAAGCCTATCAAAGTGGTGCGACCCAAAAAACCTTCTCAGATCCACTGCCTTTTCTTCTCTGCCCCAATGAATTATCATTATTCCTTAAGACATGAGCATTATTGTTTGTAGACAACATCAAAATCTGTAAAACACTAAGTAGTGAAGCCAACCATCTCAATCTCCATGCCGATGTGATTGAATCACTTGAGAGGTCCCAAAGTCGGCGACTGAACATTGATACACATCGGGGTAGCGGCACTGGACCCTAAATACACGACCTTTGAAGCCAAGCATATAATAAGTGAAAATATTTATATTCAACAATTAACATGAAGAGAAGGTCAACAATGGAGAAGGCAAGAAGATTTAAGTAAATCTATTCGGATGGAATGTCTCATTCACGCGGACGTGGTCATTCTTTACAACTTGCCTTTACTCACATTAAGTATATTATTCTGTCTTTAGCTTAAATATGTTCTTCAAAAGCACTAAACTTTAAATGGCTTATTCTTGTGGTACGATGAGTTTGAATAGATAATGATTTAACTTCCACGTAAGATCTTATTGATTAGGCAGTCAGATCATGACAAATCTACAATTTTAAGATTAGGTCTACTATTATAATAATACCAATGACGACGTGCAACATAATTCTACAATGGTACTTGTCAACGGTATATCTTTTCCATGCGCGGAGCAACACAGAAACTGAGGAGTAACAGTCGAATCAGAAGTCAAAAAGTAGTTCGACGATATATTTGAAGAGCTGTCGGTGTGTCGAGGAGCGTTTATTCTAAGCTGGCTAACAGTTACGGAGGATGGGTAGCACGGCGTACTCAGTCGTGGTCTGGTGCGGATGCGTAACCGAACGCCTTCAAACATGTGTGTATCCTGTAAAACTAATGAGTTCAGCATCCAAAATCGAAGACTTACAGAACCATTAATTTAGGGGATTTTTTACTGCTTCACGGTAATTCGTGATTTAAAAACAACTTCGTATTGCAATGCAGAAACCAAAAAAGGTTTTTGAGCGTTCTGGTCACTTACCCAAGCATTCAAACACTTTGACGAAGAAACTTTTCGAAGTTCATATCCCACCCATTATAGACCACACCTAGAGTTCTGTATCCAAGTAGTCAGTTCATGTCTCGTTAAAGATACCAACACAGGCATGTTTTGTGTGTGAAAAGATTAACGAAGCGTCTTCTCAAACTCCCTAACTATGATCCTGTAGCGGTAAATAAATCCCCAAAATAAATAGCCCTAAGTTTTCGACATTGGATGCTGACCATATGTTTTAGTGGACTCATCTAGCTGAAGGCGCTCGGTCTTGCATCCGCACCAGATCACGTGTGGTAACGCCGTGCTCAACATCAACCGCAATCGCTAGCCAGATTAGATCAGAGAATTCCGATATATTGGTCATCGCCAAATATACTCTTCCGATCTCCTCGACTCTGTCTTTTGATTTCTCTGGGCGGGAACGAAATACATTAGAAGGTGTTACTGGTAGAAGCGTTGTCAAACACTGAATACCTGTGACATCATCAATCCCTTTAAACAACTCAACCTTTTCTCCTTATCGGAACATAGAACGTGAAGTGACCTTATATTGGTTTTCCATATCTTTAGTAACGATTTGGGTGTCAAAATGACTGGTCTTCTTCCACTCTTCAGAACTAACCATCTAAGGGGCAATAGAAGTAAAGGTTCAGAAACCACCATCTCGTAAACTTAGACGGCGGTTTCGTTTTTCTCATGGAGCAGTTAATGACTAAACTGTCTTATCCAAACAATTGGTCTCCGACGCATCAGTGAAAATTTTTAGAGAGAAACTGAACCCTTACTAGAAAACAGGCTGCAACGCTTAACATAGGTCCACCAATCTACTATCTTCATTCGTGAAGACTGAACGCTGAAGATTGAAGCGCGAGGACGGGATATTGCGTTACTTTATAGAAGCATGACAAATAATCTGGTTGTTCTGCACATTACTCGCTTACCCAAATATTTTGGACCATATGAATTGCGAAAGTACATTGAGCAATTCGGAAAAGTTCATGAACTCTATATACCAAAGTCTAAAAAGGTTCGTTTCCCTGTTGCTATCAAACATTTGAATAGACTGGTAAGTGGAAAGACAGTGCTTTCGTTCGAATGTCTAATGAGGCTGCTCCTCTCGTAGCCTCGACGTTAAACAACTTGCTGCAATTCAATAAAATAATAAAATGTAAGTCATCCCCATATTTAGGTCTAATAAAATACCGTATATATACGTTGTCTTATAAGGTATCCATTTTCTGTGGTGGTGGTCCTCATATATGAGTTATTTCCCTGATTATTCTCATGATCTATCTGCGCCAAACGAAGCTCAATTTGTGGTTACAAATAAGGATGTCAAAAAACACTCCACGTGGCTTCCCATAGATCAGCGTTTTCCTGGGCTCCATACTTCAAGACAAAATCGGGTGTGACTATAATATATGGACGACCTCTAATCGATATTAGAGTGACCCTTAGAATGTCCATTTAATGACTAGGATCAAATGACCGTTGTAAACTAGTGTGAGGAATCAGAGGTGTGATTTATTGCTGATGGTCAAGGTTGGTATCAGAATTAGGGTTTCCGTCACGAAAAAAATCCCATGTGATCTGTCAAAGTTTTGCTGCTTGAATGCTTGCTATACCAGTGAATCGTAATGGGGAGTTTCAATCTTACTTTCTTGTTGCATTGACATATTCATATTACACTGAAGAGTGCATTTTGCTTGAGTTTTAACTATATCATGAGTGATACCCTCTAATAATGGATTATGGCTACGGTAATCTTACTACAGCCTGCATACAAGTACCAGTTCCATCTGAATTTGTTATACTTTGACGAAATTATGTTCAGCTACAAGTTTTAGGATTGACACTTACCTACCAAAAGCACACAGACAACATAGACCTGTTACTTTAAGGTGACTAATCATTCAGTGTACTTAAGCAAATAATTAGGGTTGCAAACTGTGTACCTCATTACTTCCCGTTTGTAAGTTTCGTGCTTAGATTGATAACTAAGTAGTGACCGAGTGTTCGAATCACTGTCTTCTGAGTTTTGTATTGACCGTGTTGGGCTATACCCCAGCCTACACTGTCTGCTACGATAGCGTTTACTGATTCATGAAACAGACACCCAAAGAACGTTTTTTGAGTTTTATTGCAATCTGGGTCGCTAGGTTCAATCATCACTATTCCGGCTACAAGTTCAGATCCCACTAAGTAAAAAAGCTAAGGTAAATTTTCTTTCAACCGTCTCAGTAATTAATATCCCTCAGAACGTCGCTACATATTAAATTGCTGGTGTACCAAAGTATAGTCTGTCTCATGTCTAGTCGTAAAAGACTTGAAGATGTAAACATACCGACCTCTCGAGATAATAAGTCGTCTAACTATAAACGCAACTATTTCTCTCGAATTGTCTTGACAATTTTATTTTGCTGTGCTGGTGAGGTATAAGGATTTGAACCAGTATGCACATGTGCCAGTTTCTACGTTGTCTGACTAACTCATTTCCAAATTCACAACTCTACCAACTACCTGCTTCAAAACCTCGGACATTTCGCTATCTTTCTTAATATTGTCTATATACGTATATATACTTTGAGTTATATGCCTCAAAAATAGTGAGAGCATTTACGACAGGAACATTATATTGGATATGTAAAAGCAGTGTTTTTTAAAAATGTTGATTTCAGCAAGCATGTGATTTGAATCATAAGTGACTTATATGTATTTAATAATTTTATCATCCTAATGTGAATACTCACAGTTCAACAGAAAGTAAACATGCTTCCTCTCATCGTGCATTTGTTAGTAGTAGGATAAAAATTCTGCTAGTATACTACCAGACCATATATCGTTTGTAAATGCGACGTCTCGGGGAAGGAACCAAATCCTGCTAGTTTAAATAGTATATCAAGTCACATATCTTATAACTTGATGGATAAACATACTACAAAATTTCGTTGTATTAGCTGCTATCAGCAGTACTAATTTGTGTTGCTACTGTATTATGGAAGGCTAGCCATGTAGAAACCGTGTTACTGACCTGTTTTCAAGCAGTGATAAACCAAAATGAAAGCATTCCATTATATGGAAATTGCCGCATTGTTTCATATTACGTAATGACTTTGTTATAGAGCCATTAAAACGGAATACTAAACACCTACTCCATCCTAGTATATGACTCAAACGTGCATCAACGACCTCAACAATGATGGGTAGGTGCCTCAACAAAGTCAGTCTGGGATGTGTAATTCTAAACATATCTTAATTTACTACAACACAATGAAGGTCTACATATGGAATGTGAGTCGCATCTATTGTATCATTGATAGCAACGCTACTCAGTACTCAAAGTCTTTACTAAGGTACAAAAACGTAGCCATATTTATGCAAGACGCAACAACAAGTTATTTTACTTTGGATAAACTTTCCTCATACATCATTGTAACATGAACTTCTTAATTCGTTCATTTTTATGAATAGGTGAAGTCTTAGCAGACAATAAGCGACTATTTCGAATAAGCAGATACCTACGAAATTCAACTCGTGCATCACATGAAGAAAACCAAACCATAGCAACAATAAAGCGTGTTACAGCCCTAAACGCCCGCAAAGGAATGGATTTTACCAATAGTTCAGTAAGAAAATCATTACCCCAAGCTGTCCGAAGGCGTAAACATAACTTCCAGAAACGAATTGCAGCAATTAAAAAGACCAACTTGAATTTCAGATTTCATGAGACCGACCACTAATATATCATAAAAAACTTTAAACCCAGTAAAAAAACTCAATTTTCCAAATGATGTTTACTGTGCAATGTTGACACTAGTTATCATAAAAAGGCACTTTGAACCATTTTTATTAAACTTATAAAGAAAGTAGAAGTACAGAAAAAAGTTAGGAAATTATGGTGCACAGCCAAATTTTTGACAAACTGCATAGATTTTCCACCTTGAAAAATGAACACTCTAGTATGTGTAGCAAACGCGATAATAGAGGGTTTTCGACCTCCATAGGGAGAAGGAGTTATCGAATTTGAAAACATATGTCCCCGCACCTGGATACAAGTGAGATCCACAGCACACTTCGTTTTGAGAGTTCTGTCGTGAAACAGGTATGATCTCATCAACTAAGATATTAGACTTTTCCGGGTTCTCCGCCTTGGTTACTACTGAGTGACCATCTGGAAAAAATTAAAACATCATTATAGTTTCTTCTTGTATCTAAATCGTTTTACTGTTTAAGCGGAATCACATGACTAAACAATTAAACGATACTGAAGGGTTTTGGAATAACTCTCAAGTCAAATTACCAATGAGTATCTTTACTATCAACGTTAAATTCATAATTATGTTTCATGTATTCGACAGAAAGTGAAGTAGTTCAGTGCGTCAACCATTACACTTATCTTGGAAGTCTCATCGACCCTGGAGGATTGGTATCCGATGAAATTTCAGAATGGATTTAGATAGCTCAGCTTTTACAAATTCACATCACTTTTGGAGTAGGTGAGATAGTCGTCTCCCAACCAGAGGGCGAGTTTACTTTGTTCGGCTCTACGGATATAAAATATAGCTATTAAGAATAAAGAATATCTGTAGGTTGCAAGTTTGAAGCATTACTTGTATACGTTGGGATTGCTGAGTAAGTCAAACTTGAGTTAGACACAAAGTGCTAGGTAAGGATGGCAAGTCGACTCGTGAAATAGTGGGTCTTGGTCCACTGTGATGAGGATGCGTACATGTGACAACTTGAATCCACGCACATATATATGCCGGGTAGGCCTGAGTGATATTTAAGTTAATAATGAATTAACGAATATTGATTTTGTCTTTTGATGGTAGTTTGAAGAAGGCAGACAGTGTTAATAATTAAGATTCAGTCAATCGATAGGTTTACTAATAATGTTGTTCATGTTACCCCCTTTCAACACTTACCTTCGGCATTGACTGATGCAGTATGGTTGTTGTGTTTCACTTCAGGATCAGAAAGCGGTCCTGCCCATTCAAAAAACAAACCGAATCCAATGTCGTAGTCATCTGTAGCGAACTCCCAGACTATACTCGTGCCCGATGGGTGTGTTTGAACACGAACCTAGATTAATGTTTTTCAAAAATGCAAACGCCTAGAGTATCTGTAAGATGAACTATTACACAAATTTAGCATAAAACCTCGAAGCATATGCTCCACTATCGGCCTACTTCATTAACGTAGTCTGACAGATGTGCTCTGGTCTAAGTTAGTCCACCAGATTAGCGTGACGATGTGAAATTAACACGCATGATAAAATAGGTCGGAATAATGCAGTAACGGTGACCATAAAAAAGATTGAGGACATGAAAACACAAAGTAAAAATGTATATGCGAAGGGATACTGGAATCTAAAATACAGGGAAAGATGAAGAGTGAGCGCATCTGCTCCATTGAGAATGTTTAGCAATTTCACCCAATCCTCAGCCACTGATCGCGATTATCGCTCAGACCCCAACCAGGTAGTCTGCACCCACCAACATGATGAGCAGTCAATGATTCCATTTTAATGCTAATCGCTGCCAAGTACACTATGCACCCCAAACTCTGTGAAGAATACACCACTTCAACTAAACGCGATAGTCAAAATTTAACAAAATGTGAAAGCTAAAGGAGATTGAAGGACATTTAAATGAACGAAAAAGTGAATTCTGAAGGCAAACAGAATAAGTAGGTACAAACTATGATCTACTTACTATATTTGATGGAAATCAACTATCTCAAAATTCCTAAGTCCAGTTCTAATACTTTTGTGGTTATCCATTCGATTATCTCTTAACTGTGCACAGAATGTTCTCATTTCCGAGCTAAGAAATGAGGGGGATTCTCAGTTACCTTTTAGGGGTTATTCAAACAATATATGTGAATGTGAAGCAATTCATGAGTACATCCCAAATATGCATCTCCAAAGGGTTTATAATCTGGTGCAAATCCACTTTAACAACTACGAACAAACAAATTTACTTGCATCCATCGTTAAGTTAGTGTTGGAAGTTAATAATTCTGCTGTTTGAAGACTCAGTGCAATGATTATGATAGGGTACGATTGTTTGTATAGACTGTTTTATCAGCTTCGTAATCCAGACTTATTCAGTAAGCCATTTTCTAAAACGCTAAGATAGTGCCTTCATAATCTTCAAACGAATCTTTAATCAGACAGCCTGACCAAAACCATATATGTAAAATCTGACTGAGTGGTCAGTGATTTTCTTCCAGTGTACTTTTTTTTCAGTAGACCAGTGCACAGATAAATTTATCAACAAAGAATTTCCAGAATAATACTTCAAAGTTATTTCACCTGGAGAACTAGTGAAGAGAACTAAACAACAGTATACTACTGTTTTACCCCTGTTGAGAACTCAATATTTCAATTGCAACGGCCTACAGTGAAGATGTAATTCAATAAGATTAACGATATATGTATAATGGTAGATGCAAACTACCTGGCTTGAATCCTCATGATTAAAACGTTGAGTGACATGGCTTAGACCTTGTCACAATGTCGCATATACACGTTCATTCTCTATCTTCTCTCAAAATTTGAGTCTCCAAATTACCATATAATACTTATTCCGTGAGCTCATCCTTCGTCGAATCATATTGTCTATACCTAATCTCTACTACTACCACTGACAGAGTCACTAATCTGGTGGTATGTCTTGATAATTCCACCCCGCTCTGTTGATATAGTGTTACAATTTTTAAAAAATCAAGTTTAACACGTTCTACCTTGTGTATGATTGAATGATAGAGATACATAACATATCTTAAAAATTCCCAATGTTTTCAATATTATTACAGCTTACTGAATAAACTTCACCGCTGTTTATTCGAATAATAGACTCTTCATCTTCAGTTAAACACTGTTTAAATTCTTTAACTTCCCCACGAGTCCATAATGTAGGGGCATGTACCACCAAAGATGCATTTAGGTAAGGATCAGTGTCAAGGCATTTCTTATCTGAATCAAGAGTTGACAGATCTAACAAGGATATACATATTTAAAAAAATTTGTTTAATAGATCTAATAAACAAAACATGAGGTATAAAAATGAAATAAATCACCTCAAATGGAATAAAATCGACAATATGAACATAAAACCAACCATGTTGGGTGAAAAATAATTTTTGCTCGCCTTGATGACATACAAGCACAGTGTAATAGACGATTCAGAATAACCACTAACTGATCATTTAATTTGAGAAACTAATCGGACGAAATACGTTATTGAGGTAAACATTGCCTACTCACTCAAAACGGACAATCACCGCTATGGATGGAAACTCGTCATAATATGAATCGTACTTTTTCAGTTAGGAGCTTTACAAAAAATATTCCCAAGTAAGGAATAAACTATACTCAGATAAAAGAACACCTTAGTGGTTCATGATAATTAAACAACTTTTGAAATATTCCCATATTGTAAATTAACTACCTTGATTGGTTTAATAATTTCATATATGCATATAAATATTACTTTACATTAGAGTAAAGCCTGATGAATCCTGTCAATCCTTAACCACATACATGTTTTATACACGCCTAAAATAGGGATCTAATCTGTCTCATTGAGTGTGATACCAGAACATGAGTAATCCTATTAAGTCATATAATATGATAAAAGGCAATGATGATCATTTGAAATAAAATCCTGTTAAGGTCAGAAACCGACGTATCTCCTTTTTATGAGTTATTATTTACTGATTCCGACCAAAAGCGGAAGTGTTACTTGAAGCATTGTGTACTTAAATTACTCAAAGCGTGATATAAACAGTGATTTGGCTTGCCTCAAATATATCCTTATGTAATAATTTTTCCAACCACTTCAACTATATTTTAGTGCTTGAAATATCATTTCATGACCAATGAAAATAATCTTAACTGAATACTGACAAGCCTCATGGTTCACGGGTATGCAATATTTCTTCTTTTTGAGAAAAAACCTGTTTGCAAGACAGATTTCACTAGTTGACCAAGCAGCCCATCAACACGTTCAATATAGATATACAAAAGCGAATGAGAGTTTATAACTAAATGTTCTTTTATTTGAACTACATTTTGCAACATGATTCAGAACTTGTCTTAATGACCCAGATGAATTCATTCTTCTAAATCTGAGGTTCTCGTACTTATACTTCATATTCTTCAACTTGTTACTTTTTTTGACGTATGTTCTGCACGTTTAGTTCCTTTCATTAGTACTACTATAATGTTAACTTCTTTGTTTTGTATTTTATTAAATTACTCTCTTGGAATGTCGACGTGATTTATACTAAGTTCTATAAGTTGACTAACATAGCTGTATTCCTGCCTAAAGTACCACATTTTGTATTTAATCCACTTTTGTATTGTTTGTTTGGATCTTCCCATTGATGTTTAAGACTGCAATTGACCAGTCTTTTATTGGCATATGTGCATCCTAGGCGGATTGCCTGGATATTCATCTCTGCCCATATTTCGTATTGCCCTCGGGGTGTGCTTTTTTTTAGATATCACTGGATGTATTTGACTTTTGAGGCGTATATAGCACCTCTCGTACAGTTAAGTTTTTTAAGGTTGATTTTGCCAAACTTCTCAATTAACTTATTTAACGAACAGTGGTATCCGGTCGGTAACAATTTGTCTACGTATTATTATTATTATTACTATTATTATTATTATCATTATTAATATCATGTCTGTATAAACAAACATGTATGCTTGATCACGTATGAAAGAGTA